AAACACTTGTCGCTGCCAACTTCAAATCAAAACAAGAGAGGACCAACTACCAACCTCCAATTAAAAACTATCAATCTACAATTAAATGAACTTTAATTCTTCAAAGAATTATTAGCTAAACCCAGAAAGAAGAAGAAGAAAATGAAGATGATGACGTCTCCCTGACCCCACCGCAGCGAGTCACCCCTTCGTGACTCTGACGGCTGCTGTCCTGTCAACCGGCCCCCTGGCCCCCTGCTACCCTGAGGATAGGCCACCATCCTCACACCGAAGAGAGCCACCGTGCTGTTGCCTACCCGCACGGCGCCATAAAGAAAACTTTAGTTATGTATCCTTTAAAATGCTATCATGCTCCTATAATCTCTTCCTTTTTTTCAAATCATTTTATTTTCTAAAAAAAAAAAATGTTTAAAGTAAAAAAAAAAAACTAACAAATTGTAAAACACTGCATCATGCACCAAAGATACCTCAAGAGACAACAAAACAGCATGATTTTTTTGTGACAAATTTTTACACTTCCCCGTTTTGGCCCGTATTGTGAACTAAAAAACCCCCCAATAAATCCTGTTATAAACTAAAAAACTCTCTCTCTCTCTCTCTCTCTCTCTCTCTCTCTCTCTCAGACTCTTCAAAGGGCGTCCCTCCCGCAGGCGGTGCGATGGAGACGGAGCGACGAAACACTTTTCGAAATCACGCTGTGCGCGTTGTCCTTTTATTCGAGTGTGCGATCGCGGGTCCACAAGGGCATGGCGCCGTAATAATCAGAGGGCTGTCACGGCCGTGCTCTCTGTCTCTCTCTCTCTGTCTCTCTCTCTCTCTCTCTGTCTCTCTCTCTCTCTCTCTCTCCCTCCCACTCACCGCCCCCTGTGTCTCTGTCTCGCCCCCTACCCTCCTACCCCGCCCTCCTACCCCTCCCTCCCCCTGTCCCCGGAGACACCGCGTCACGGCTCGGCACGGCGCGTTGTCCGCCGACCCGCCCCCCTTGCTGTTCCGCGCTGCGGCCGACTGCTGCAGCGCGCGCTGCTCCACGCTGGTCGACCTGTCGGAGTCCGTCATCCAGCACGGCGACACGGCCATCGAGGACAACGGACAACGACAGTCCCCGCGGCGCTGTTAAAAAGTAAAAACCCAGCAAAGGGCGGCGTCCGTGTCCACCATGATTCTCTCCTACTTCCACCCACTTCTCTTTTCTTCGCCTCTTTTTCTCTGTCGCCCCCCCCCCCCTCCCCCTCCTCACTCGTACACCGCGGTAATGGAGTTTATCATGTCAGTCCGGCGCTGTGATTGCAAAGAACCGAAACAAAGAAACAAACACAGAGAGAGAGAGAGAGAGAGAGAGAGAGAGAGAGAGAGAGAGGAGCGTTTCGTTCCGTATCATCCGCGCACCTGCCAGCGGCAACCCTGCTGCCCTGCCGCAGCCCCGCACGGCGCGGCGGGCAAGCGCGGCGGACGGTAAGGTGACAGGGCAACGCGTGCCGTCCGCAGCGTTTGTGGCGCGGGGCGGGGCGGGGCTGGGCGGGGCTGGGCGGGGCTGGCCGAGAGGGACGAGGAAAGCTTTTTGCGCTGTCATCTGCGCTCAGAGTCATGCCACCGCACGCCTCGCCGCACCCCGCCCCACCCCGCCCCGCCCCGCCCCACCCCGCCACGCCACGCCGTGGTCACGCTATATACCTCCCACACGTCACAACGGAAGCCCAGCAGCAGCAGCAGCGCGCACGCCACTTGCAACGCGATACTATACGTGCCGCACGTGCGGCACGTGCACACTGCAACGGCGGGAAAAAGAGAACAAGACCAGTGAAAAAAAAAACAGATAAAAACAAAAACACGACAGACTCCCCCGGACGAGATTGGCGATTTGCAGGGCGCGCCACTCGTAAACAGAAACAGCTCGCCGAGCTCGCACTCCGTGTTCGTTCGCGTCGACAACTCTTGCGACCAACTTCAAAGTGCTCACAAAAAAAATGAAGCAAAAAAAGAATCAATTACTGCTCATTAAAAAATGGAGTGTCAAATATAAAACCACACACACACACACACGCACACACACACACGCACACACACACACGCACACACACACACACACACACACACACACACACACATGAACTGCTTGCTAAAAACACTGCTAATCCGAGTGTGGACCAAAGTCGACGCCACAAGGCACCAAAAATAAGGAGAATCTTGACGAAAAGACCTTCGGCGTTGAGCGCGCTGCTCGAAAGTGGAACGCGGAGGGAGCCTCACCTGGCGTGACGGTGGGGGACATCATGAGGAAGTGGATGCAGGCGGCGCCGGTGCCGTGGCCCATGAGCGTCACGTTGCGCGGGTCACCGCCGAACAGGGCCACGTTCTGCTGCAGCCAGTGCAGCGCCGCCATCTGGTCCATGAGGCCGTAGTTGGCGACGCGCGCCCTCGTGCCGGGCGACGGGTTGGCGTTCAGGAAGCCTGCAACCAGGAGGGGGACCATGAGCATCACCACCGGCGGGATCTGGAGCGGCGCACAGTGGGCCAGAAGACCGGTGGAGGCGGCCAAAGTTCTGGACGCGCTTGGAGCTCGAGAGTCACTGAACAGGACTCGAACCGAACGTGTGACCCCATCAATGGATTCCTGGTTCGGAGAGCAATCTATTGGTGGGGTCACATGTTCGGTTCGAGTCCCATTTAGCGACTCTGGAGCTCAAAACACGTCTAGACGTCGCCACCGGTGAGGTGTGGCTTCTGGGAGGCAGGAGCGCCCGACGAGCAGCGGGTAGGCCACCCGGTGCGCAGCCGAGCCTAGCGGGCGTGCCTACCACCGCAGGGGCTTCACCAAGCGCCCGACGAGCGACGGATAGGCCACCCGCCAGACAGCCGTGTCCAGCGGGCCAGCCTAACGACGCACCGCAGGCGCTACTTGACATTGAAAATGAATGAAAGAGTCTAGATCAATGCCATAATTTTATCGAATTGAAAAGAAATATGGAGTTCGAATTGTCATACATTTGTGTATGACGGTTTTCCGGTCATACTTTTTGTATCACCGATAAACGGTTAGATGTCTCACCCTTCGATCAGTGTAAAGAAACACCGAGTACCAATTGAAAATTTTGGCAGGCCGCTGGCGGAGGCGGTACGTACCCAGGATGCCGAGGCGGTAGTTGAGCGTGACGACCACCACGTCCGCGTAGCTGGCCAGCACGCTGCCGTCGTACGCGGCGCCCGAGTTCCAGGAGAAGGACTCGCCGTGGATGTACACCATGACGGGCCGCGTGGGCTGCACGTCCGAGGAGCCGGCTGGAAAGAGAGAAGAACACGGCGTCGTTAATGAGTCGTTGTCGGGACAAGGGCCCTGGGGCCCCGGGGGCGACGCCGCGACGCCCTGCGCGGGGCCCCGCGGGGGGCGCACGAGGAAGACCTGCAGAGGAACGCGGTTCGTGGGCACGTTTCTGTGTGTGTGTGTGTGTGCATGTGTGTGTGCATGCGTGTGTGCACGCGCGTGTTTCTTTATTTATTCGTTTATTGTGTTTGTGTGAGTATGTGGGTGCGTGTGCGTGCGTGTGTGTTTGAATGTGATAGAAGGAGGAAAAGGGGACGGCGCGGGCAGCCCTCCAGCGATCTAACCTCTCTAACAAGCATTTGTATGACCGCGCGATGAGCGCTCCCAAGCTAGCGCCCCTGAATGCACACAGACCGTGTGTGTGTGTGCGCGTCTGTGTGTGCCAGTGTGCAAGGGCGCGCTGGTGGCGGGAGTGCGGTGCTGTGTGTTACTTTAAAATATGAAAATGTTATCATGAGGAGGGGCCCGCAAAGGGGGCTGGCAAGAGGCGCGCGCCCCCTGCGTGTGAGAGAGACGGCGAGATAGGGTGAGGGCAAGAGGGGCGAAGCGCAGGGCAGTGCATCACTTGTTTTGTGAGCGTCCGTGTGTGTGTGTGTGTGTGTGTGTGTGTGTGTGTGTGTGTGTGTGTGTTTGTAAAGGGAAAGTGGCCTCGGCCTCCACAACCGCACTAGGAAGGCCGGGGGGGGGGGGGCACTGTGTGAAAGAAATGATACCTGCTGCTTGCTCTTGGGAAGGCCAACATGTGGGAGACCAGCAAATCATGCAGCAGGGCACAAAGGAGGGAGAGAGAGGGAGAGCGACGTGAAGGTGAGTGCGAGAGGGCGCGCCGCGCCGTGTCTACATGTTTTGCAGCAGCGTTGCGCGGCAAAGAAATCCGATGAAAATTTCACGAGACGCGTGTGCTGAGCGCGCTGAGCCGGCTACTTTGTTGTTTCATTCGAGCGCTCTCCGGGGCTCGGGTCACTCGCGACGCGCGTCGACGCCGGCGCGCTCTCTTTCATGTCCCGCCCAAACAGGGACGGTCCTCCCGGTACCTGTGGCACCACGGCGGCATCGGGCGCGGCGGGGCGTGGCGGGGTGCTCGTTCGAGGACGGCCGGCAACACGGCCTTTCCATTATGCAACCCGCGTTAAAGAAACGACCAAGTAAAGCAAAACGACACGGGCGTTGACGGCGGAGGGACTGTTCGTTAGTCGCGCGGGTCACGACCTTACGGAGCCCTTTGTCCAGTTTACGGCCCTCCTTGGCCTGCGGACCGACTCCGAGAGGCCTCGCCTTGTCTCTCTCGCGTCTCACGGCACGGGACGTCCCACGAGCGCGAGAGAGACAGAGCGACGAGAGCGACTCTGGGAGGCAGCCTGCTGCGCAGCGGTGCGAAGCACATGGCGCCCTCTTTACGCGCGCCTAGAAGCAGACACAGAGGGAGACAGGGCCACACAGTGGGCCAGAAGACCGGTGGACCCAGTCAAAATTCTAAAAGCGTTTTGAGCTTCAGAGTCGCTAAACAGGCCTCGAACCGAACGTGTGACCCCACCAATGGATTGCTCTCCGAACGAGGAATCCATTGGTGGGGTCACACGTTCGGTTCGAGCCCTGTTTAGCGACTCTGGAGCTCAAAACGCGTCTAGAGTTTTGTCCGCCTTCACGGTTCTTCTGGCCCACTGTGGGCCGGCCAGGCCGGGCCGGGGCCGCCGGGAGATGGCCGCTGGCTGGTTCGTCATATTTGTCAGTTTCACTCTCGGGATCTGAGAATCCAATATGCCCGCACAGCTGCACGGCACGGCCAGGCACGGCTCGGCCCGGCACGCGGGCCGCGCGATGCGGCGCCACTTGTCCGCCACTCGCCGCTCACTCCGCCTTGGCCCGCCAGCTGTTGGCGCCAGCCGGGGGACGCCGAGGACGACGAGGACGACGAGGACGACGCGGCGCGCGCCGGAATAAGCCGTATTTGTGAAGGGAGACAAAAAAAAAACAAATTCTGCGCCGTCGAGAGAGCGACACTTTCCGTTGAGTGAGTTATGAACTTGGAAAAACATAATAAACCGAGTCTGGCCTCCTGACGCCGCGTCGCGCGCCACGCCGCACTGCGCCGAAAACTACGGCCAGCTGCGTTCCCCGGCGAGGAGAAGCTGAGTGAGGACGGGGCGGGGGCGCCAGCACGGGGACGCTGCGGTGCCGCGGCGAGCAGACCTGCCGTATTTTGATCTCTAAAAGCAGCCGAAATCAGCGCGGAGATGGAATCGAAGTCAAGGTGGACCGGCGGGGTGCATTGGATTACGGAGTTGGGAGAGGGACGCCGCGACACGGTTCGAAGGAGCGCGGTGGGGGTCGCTCGAAGAACAAGAGGGGGGTCCAGGACATGGCCCGGGACACGGTCCAGGAGGAAATGCAGCAGCTCGGCGGCAGCCCTTTCTTGCACTCGTCCCAGAGTCTGGAGTGTGCAGTGGCCGGCACTCAACACCACGACAGGGCAGCAGCAGCAGAGCCCCCGGACCCCCCGGGGCGGTGAGCACTTCTCTCCGGTATGAACCCGCGCGGAGCACTGCGCAGCACTGCGCGCGACAAGTCGTCTCTCTCGCACTCGTGCGTCTGCACTCGGCAGCGGACGAGGCTGTCGCCGCTACGTCTGGTCTGGTGCCAGGGCGGCAGGGCAGTTGTTGAGGTGCAGACGACGGCGGCGGCCTGTTCGTTTCGCCTTCAGGTCTCGCGTATAGTGCGTTCCATACAAAGGCCGCTGCAAGCGGAAAAGTCGCGGACCGAACAACGGCGGTGCACAGTGGGCCAGAAGACTGGTGGAGGCGGACAAAACTCTAGACGCGTTTTGAGCTTCAGAGTCGCTAAACAGGCCTCGAACCGAACGTGTGACCCCACCAATGGATTGCTCTCCGAACGAGGAATCCATTGGTGGTGTCACACGTCCGGTTCGAGTCCCATTTAGCGACTCTGGAGCTCGAAACGCGTCTAGAATTTTGTCCGCCTCCACCGGTTGGCCCACTGTGCGCTGTCTCCCTTGCTCTTGTGACGCGTACCGCGCGGGTGCGAGAGGGACACAGCGACGGGATCGGCACCGCAACGAAGGCCGAGACGCGGCCACACCGGAAGGCCGGAAGGTTCCCGCCCCGCCGCCCCTCGCCGCCGTGCTGCTTTAATTAATGCCCCGAAAAAAAAACACAAGATTTATCTCGAGGAGAGTTTGATAAATTTGGCGCCGCGGTCTGACGCAGATTTTGACGGATAGCCGGTCGGCGAGTGCGGCGCGGCGCGGCGGCCCCGCCCCTCCACCCTGTCTCTTGGCCGGCAGGGCGGGCCAGCCGATAGCACCCGCATGCAGAACAATCAGGCAAGGGAAAAAAACAAGAAAAACAAGGAGAGAAACGAGGAAAATCCGAGGCGCGGCCGGGGATTGAACCCCCGCCCGCCGAATCGGTCGAGAGGGGATTTCCGAGGGGAACACACGTAGGCCACGCGGACCGCCACGCGAGCGCGATGCTTCACCGCGTTATTCCGTGTTTTTTTTTTGTCCCGTTTTTTTCCGCCTTTTATAACCACACAGTGGCCATTCTGACGCGCGGCGCGGGAATGCTGCGGACACGCCGCGCGACACGCAGCAAGCGTCACGGCACAATGCACGCCGGGAATGCTGCGGACACGCCGCGCGACACGCAGCAAGCGTCACGGCACAATGCACGCCGGGAATGCTGCGGACACGCCGCGCGACACGCAGCAAGCGTCACGGCACAATGCACGCCGGGAATGCTGCGGACACGCCGCGCGACACGCAGCAAGCGTCACGGCACAATGCACGCCGGGAATGCTGCGGACACGCCGCGCGACACGCAGCAAGCGTCACGGCACAATGCACGCCGGGAATGCTGCGGACACGCCGCGCGACACGCAGCAAGCGTCACGGCACAATGCACGCCGGGAATGCTGCGGACACGCCGCGCGACACGCAGCAAGCGTCACGGCACAATGCACGCCGGGAATGCTGCGGACACGCCGCGCGACACGCAGCAAGCGTCACGGCACAATGCACGCCGGGAATGCTGCGGACACGCCGCGCGACACGCAGCAAGCGTCACGGCACAATGCACGCCGGGAATGCTGCGGACACGCCGCGCGACACGCAGCAAGCGTCACGGCACAATGCACGCCGGGAATGCTGCGGACACGCCGCGCGACACGCAGCAAGCGTCACGGCACAATGCACGCCGGGAATGCTGCGGACACGCCGCGCGACACGCAGCAAGCGTCACGGCACAATGCACGCCGGGAATGCTGCGGACACGCCGCGCGACACGCAGCAAGCGTCACGGCACAATGCACGCCGAGATGAATGAGCTGTACACCGCAAAAAAAAGAGGAACACGTGACGAGCCGCTCGCATTCAAGCACGGCGGCCCGGCACGTCGCAGCGCGCCGCTCTTCCGCGGGTTCAACTCCCAGTGACGGGCGCGGACCAGCTTTCCGCCGCTGATTTTTTGGGTGGGATTTAGCGCGGCGCGACTAGTGCTACACACGGAGGGAAGTCCTGCCCCGAAACAAAAGGCCTGTTAGTGGAAGGTCCAAAGACCACCCAGCCGTTGAGGGAGTACGGTATACCGCCTTGGATTGGACGCAGTGGCTAAAGTCAGTCAAAATAACCATTCCTGAAAATCAGCGATCAATTTTTTCAAAACAGCATCTACGACCCCAGCAGCGCCGCTCGGCCGGCCGCGGCGGCGGCGCCATGCAGTAGTACTACAGCGGCAAGGCCCGGCAACGCCCCACCAGAGCCAACCTAGTTAAAGGCAGTTGCCTTCATGGCCTGCCGCGAACGGTCCTGCAAATAATTATCATGGCTCATGGAGCGCGGTCGGGAGGTGCCTCGGGCGATTACGCCCCCCCCCCCCTTCCCGATACCCCAGCTAATGCGCGGCCAACGATTATCCGCCGGCACTGTCAGCAGCGCGGCCAG